GACAGTGTTCTGGAGTAATATGCAACAGGAACCTGAGTTCCATCAGACCTGAGGTGGCTCAGGACGGCTCCTACCCCGTAAGGGGAAGCATCACAAGCGATGCACACAGGAAGGGACTCATTGAAGTGTGCAAGTACACTGTTAGAAGTGAGTAAGGCCTTGACCTCATTGAAACTAGCCTCATGTGTTTGTGACCACTGCCACACTGCTTGTTTGTCTAATAGCCTGTGAAGAGGCTCAGCTACACTAGCTTTATGTGGAAGAAAGGAATTGTAGAAATTCAGGAGGCCCAGAAAGGCCTGAAGTTCGGCCTTAGACTTTGGCCTAGGTGCTTCTAAAATGGCAGTTAGTTTGGATTCAGCAGGGTGAATCCCAGCAGCATCAATTTTGAACCCCAGAAATTCAGTAGAAGGCACCCCAATTTTGCATTTGTCTTTTTTGAGCTTGAGGCCTGTTTTCCTGAACCTTAACAGAACAGCCCTTAGCCTTTCAGCTAGAATGTGTGTGGAGTCTCCTGCAATTAAGACATCATCAAAGTAGGGGCAAACCCCCGGTATGCCCCATAGTGTGTTTTCCATTACGCTTTGGAAAATCCCAGGAGCGACATTCACTCCAAACTGTAGCCTTTTTACCTTAAAGGCTCCCCTGTGGGTCACAATAGTCTGAGCTATAGCATCATCATCATCAACAGGCAGCTGTTGATACGCTTGAGCTAGGTCAAGCTTTGCAAAAACATGCCCCCCCTTGAGGGAGGCCAGAATATGACTGACCACAGGAACAGGATAGGCATGTTGCTGCAATGCCTTATTGAGAGTGCATTTGTAGTCAGCACAAATGCGAATGTCCCCATTTGCCTTTAGAGGCGTGACAATGGGGGTCTCCCAAGGGCTGGAATCAACAGGTTCTAGGATTCCCTGTTGGATCAGTTTGTCTAACTCAGTGTCAATTTTACTCTTTAAAGCAAAAGGGACCCTTCTTGCTTTAATTCTAATGGGAGTGACAGTGGGGTCTAGTTTTAAGGACACAGGGGGTCCCTTGAATGTGCCCAGCTGGGGGCTGAAGACATCTGCAAATTCTTTGCAGACTTCCTGTAGGTCGAGTGTTTGTAAGCTGTTGAGCCCCGTGACGTGTATCCCCAAGGCTTCAAACCAATCGAGTCCTATGAGACTCATTCGTTCACCCCCTACTACTAATAGGTCTAGTGGACCTTCAAAATTCTTATACTGTACGTTAAGGGTGGCCTCCCCCTTAACACACACTCTCGAATTTTGAAAGTCTGTTAACACAATGTCAGAAGGCCTTAATTTAGCCTGAGTTCCACTGCCGGAACAAATCTTCCTAAATGTATGTAAGGATATGATTGAAAGGGCAGACCCCGTGTCTAGTTCCATAGTTAATGGAACCCCTTGTAGCTTCACCTTGAGTGACAGCTTTTTCTTGATGGGCTTGTGTGTGCCTGTCCTGAAGATGCTTCTTCGCGAAGCGCAAAAACCTACCCTATTCTGGCTGGGAACCCTGGTACCTTTCAGGCGCAGTTCTTCCTGAGGTTGTACCTTTCGTCGGCCCAGACACACAGCTGCAATATGTCCTTGTTTCCCGCACGCCCGGCAGATAGCGGAGCGGAACTTGCAGTCGGTTCTCCTGTGGCGACCTCCACAGCCGATGCACTTGAGGGGAGCTGCAGAGCTTCCTTTCTGATTCCCTTCCTTCGTGGGGTGGAGACGGTCGACTTCCTCGTCCGGATCCTCCTCGGAGTTCCCTTGGACGTCCTCTTGGTGCACGGATGCAGCATCTGGACTGTTCCTGATCGGCCGCATGTTTTTGACGGCGCCGCCTGCTGCTTCTTCTGCGGTGACCTCTCTTAAGGCATCTTGGAAGGACAAGTCTTCTTTGACGAAAAGCCTCTGTTGTAGATCTCGATGCCTTAAGCCGCACACGAATCGGTCCCTCAGTCGTTCTTCGAGGTCCTTGAACTCGCAGTGCTTGGCGGCCTTCCTCAATGTGGCGATGTATTCTTTGGCCGACTCTCTGGATCGTTGATCCCTCTGCTCGAAGGTGTGGCGCCATGCGATGACGGACATCTTGGGCTGGAAGTGCTCCTTCAATAGCTTCTTTAGATCTGCGTAGCTGACAGACTCTAATGGGACAGGTGCTGCAAGATTCTCTGCGATTTCGAAGGCGTCTTGACCGCAGACACAAAGCAGGGTGGCAGCCTTCAACCTATCTTCCCTCATTTGGTTCGCCTTGAGGTAATTTTCCACCCTGGCTACATAGGACTCCCACCGCTCTGGATGTGAGACGTCGAATTCCGAAAGCCTTCCAACTTTTGCCATTTTCAGGAGACGGGTCTATCAGACAGCCTACCCCCGAATGCGCACTGGATTGGCGGGTAGCTGCCGAGTCAACGCCGTTCCGCCGCTCAGGACTCACTTGGGTAAGCTTACACCTCTTCCTTTCCAGGCGATGTAAGGCATCCCACCCTCGTCGCCAGTGTTGAGTCCTTGGCGAAAAGCAGACACGAGAAGCAGTTGTAGTTCTCAGGTTTTCTTTTATTCTGTGTTCAGCTTACAGGTGAAGGCTTCAGCAACGCCCAAAAGCTCCCAGCCTCTTATATAGGCAATTCCCGGGTCAATGTGTTACTTTTCCCGCGCCAGCACCCGCGCATGCGCACAGGCGCTGGCGACAGCCTGTCTGGTCCCGGGCAGCTTGCACCTGCCCGGGACTGCCTGCAAATGCCCCGAGCCCGTTTGCAAGGCTCGGGACATAACAATTATGTTTATTTTTAATTTGTTTATACCTATGTTAAAGGGGAGTTAAAGCGCATTATGGGCTTGGTTATTTATACAGTTGGTTAATGTTAGTTAGAGTTTGATTATTATAACCCTGTACTCAGCTCTGGGAAGTGGGGGAGGGAGAGGGGGGGCTTAGGGGGGGTGGGTTTTGGGGTGTATACTGTAATTTTTATAAAACTTTTCAATAAAAAAAAAAGAAAGCCAAAAGAACTGGCATAGGAAATATATAATGTGGTCAATAAAAAGTCATTTTCTGCTAAGCATGTCAAAATATTTCAAAAGACAGGATTAAAGCAGATTTCTAAAAGGAGGACAGCCTTCTCTTGGAAAGGGGAGCAACTGCCGTACAAGCTGAAGCAAAGATGTTAAGGATGGAATTTGGGAACATTTGAATTTTTTAAAGGTAAAACTTGTAGAAAAAAGTTGAAAAAGGGGGATAAAGTGTTTATTCTGTAAAGAGCAGCCAGAGAATCAAATATATACCTTTTTTTTTTATTTCCTGACAGGGAGTTATAGTGAAGCTAAAGAGATGCACTTTCTATATGATATAACACTGTTTATCATCCAGCATTCACAAAAATAAAAAGTGCTTCTTGGGACAGGGAATACCCGTGTCTCTGTCTCGAGCAGGATTTTCCTGAGGAGAGATGTTTTAGCATGTAACAAAAGAAACTATTCCCCAAACCACTCCCTCTCCAGGTGGAACAACTTTCATTCCTCTAAAAACTACACAAAGTTCTCCAAGAGAAGTGAAAAACAAGAAGTTCAGTACAGAGCCTTCCTGAACCTCTGAAAAAAAGATTATAATCTACAAGAAGCTGGGAAAAGGCCCAAAGCAAGAAAGGGACTCATTAGATTATTGTAGGAAACAAAAGGCAAGTTGAGCTAGAAATACTGCCTTACAATTACCTCAGTTTGTGCCTTTTTAGTGTAATTTATTACTTCTGATATGTATTGTCTAATGCAAACTCAGTGTCTTTTGTCTTCTGACAGACTGGAACTTCTTTACAATAGAATTGGTTCTAAATAGGAGCAGACCAGCATTATCTCTACTTAGCCAAACTATTTCTATTTTCTTGTGGGAGATCCTTTCAAAATGCTATCTGAGATTCAGCAACTGTTTTTTTTTTTAATTTGCTTTACCTTTGACTATTTTGCTTCGGACTATTTAAATAATTTTAATAGAATTTGTACAGTCTCCTTTTTGTTTTTAAACAAGGTTTTATTTTGTTTGCCTCTTGTGAGGTTAATCTAGCTCCCAAAAAGGGGAGAGGGAAGAATGAGCTGTTTTCCATTATCACAGACCATGATACTACATGGCCAGAAGATAGTGCTATAGAATTTATCTCGTTTATTTATCTCTGTGTTTGCTTCATTTTAAATTACCAGAAAGTGACATAAGGTGTGAAAAGCCTATCCTACCTGTATGCCAGAATTAGTGGAGAAGATGCTAGGGAAGACATTCCCTGCAAGAATTACCAAACTGCACACCAAAGCAGGAGCTGGAGCTAAGGCGTGTAGACCCAGAAGGGGAAAAGAGCTGAGACTGCCAACCTTTCATCTTGCAGGCTTAGACCTGCTGTCACAAACATATAATAATTAAAAGCACAGAGATAATGCCAGAAACAAACAAACAAACAAACAAACCCCAACAACATATGCACAAGGTTCCCATAACTGCCAAATGTGTGCATTATATAGCTCAGTCAGCATTACTAGCCCTGTTCACTTTTCTGCCCTGCCTAAAGTATCAGAAAAAAACAAGGGTGAAGAGCAATAGCACTTAGACTTATATACCCGCTTCACTGGGCTTTAAAGCCCTCTCTAAGTGGTTTCCAGAGTCAGCCTATTGCCCTCAACAATCTGGGTCCTCATTTTAGCGACCTTGGAGGATGGAAGGCTGAGTCAACCTTGGTCAGGCTCAAACTCCTAACAGTGGGCAGAATGCCTGCAATACTACATTCTAACCACCATGCTATCATAGAAGAAGAAAAAAGAAGCAGCCTCTACTTGCTTTGCTATTTTCTTGGGTGTTTTAATCCAATATAGAAAGAGCAAAGAAACAAATAGCAACAACAGTGCAAAAGATGAAGCAAATCCATCCAGGGAGTGATCTGTTGAGGAGATCCTACTCAAAGTCCCCTTAAAATCTGGAGCTAGCTCTAGTCTTCCCCTTCCAGCAAGCTAGAAGCTCTTTTCGTGACTCACCTGCAGGGACTCTTGGGATTCCTCTGGTTCTTCAATGCTTATATGCAGTTGTGGGAGGTCCTCCACTGGGGCCATGGAAAAGGAGGCCATTGGCTCAGGAGCAGCAGCAAGGGGAGGCAACACAGGCAAAACCTCTGTCTCCTGGCGTGAGGCCCGTCCAACAGGTGAAGGGTTCTGTAGTGACTGAATGGTGAAAGTGGAGTACAGTCCGGAACGCATGTATTCATTTCGACTGCTACGTGGGGCACCCCCACCTCCTCGTGGAGCTTTGGAGGTACCAAAGGCACCTTCATTCCCTTTGGCCTCACCTGGGACCTGCTCAGGTTTTTTGGTACCTGCCTCATCCTTCATGCCTTCCATACTCGAAAGTTCCGGGTAAGAGACAAACTTGTAGACAAACTTCTGACCACTGACTTTACGGATGATATTCTGGAATGCACAGAAAGGATGGTTGAATTAGAGCAGCAGAGACAAAGTAATTAAGCTACGTTTTTCATGAGACAACAAGGTTCTATTGACAACATTTTGTGGAAAGATATTTGAATTTAAAAATCCAATGTATTCTGAAATGAGCTAGACTGTAGTTGATACTTTCTGACAGTTATTTGCATAACGGCGTGTTTTATTCAGCTTTTGGGAGAGTTCCAGATATAGTGCACGTGTGTGTATATCTGTTAAAAGGAGAGTAGCTTTGAAACCTTCACACAATAATAATGTGTAGATGGATTATTATGTTGTAACAATGAGATTATCTTGTTCAATGAGTCTTACTTTAAACTATGTAAGCACAGATTTACAGAAGCAGAGAATGAAAATACATGGGATACCAATTTCTCTTTTTTTTAAATTTGATATCAGGTAGTTAAGGAATAAGGAACCTGTAGCTCATATTAGCTGTTACTGAATTTCCAGCATTTGATAATGATTGACAATATCAATTGGAGCTACCGGTAGATTAGCAAAAACTGAGGGCCACCAGATGTTTATGTTGTTTGCTTCCATTTATCCTGTTATTTATTCCACAAAGTTGGAAGGAGCTGTTGAAGCCATCAGGATCTGCTTGTTTGATGCAGGAATCCTAATTTAGCACACCAAGTTAAAGCCTAGCATCCATTTGAACAAATACAAGAACGCACCATCCTTCTGTGCTAATATAGTTCCATAGTCAAGCTGCTCTTACTATTCAGAAGCATTACCTAATATTCAGTTGAAAAAGGTCTTCTACTGTATTTTATTTCCTGCATTCAGAATGACCAAGAATGAGTTTTGGCCTTATATATATATATATATACACTTCAATGGGCTTTCTTCCAAGGGAGAAAAAAAAAATCAGGTCACTCTGCCTTGGAAAGTGGGGTTCATATAACAAAACAGGTATGTGTCAGTTGGTAGATGTTTCTCAATCTATTTTGTTTTCCTACAAATAGTTACTCTTCTGTTACAGAGCCACCAAACAATTTTCAGAGATTCCATATGATTTCAAGCTTATCTTTGCAGGCATAAAAATCCCCCCCCAAAAAAAGAGGTGGGGGGAGAAACTTGGGAGTGTCAGAAGGCAAATATTAACATTTACCATTTAATTCTTGCACAGATTGTCAAAACACAGCCTATGCTCCATCATTTATTCATTCCCTATTGATCTGAAATAAAATTTCATCACCCCCACAAACCCACCCACCCAAATATTCTTTTAGGTTCCCAGTACGCTCTCCTTAATTAAGGCTGGGCTGAAGTAGAAAGCAAAGCAGGGATTGGCAGATTCCTCCTGAATTTTAAAAATGGTCTCTCACTTTGTCATAGTAGTAACGCAGGGCCCGGCTCAGCTTGTCATAATTCATGTTGGTCTTGTTCTTCCGCAGACCCCAGAGTCGGGCAACCTCTTCTGCATCCACCAACTTGAACTCCCCATCATTGGATGTCCATGAGATCAGATGCCCATTGCTCTGCTGTTCCAACAACTGCAGAAGAAACTGCCACAGAGTGACTGAAGGATCCATGACTAAAGGAAAAAAGGAAGAGCAAAAGGACAGCTGATTCAGTGATACTGATTATTGCAGGGCACAATCCTAGGTAGGTAACAAGGAATGTTTGCAAATCAGAAGGATCAAGTAATCAGTGTGATGGTTGAGGTTGACTAGAAAGTGTGGGTGATGGAGAACTTCACTCACCAGAGGAAAAAAAATAGCATCAAGGAAAAGATTGGGTCAAATCATTCCAACATAGTTGCTTTCTACATGCAAGGTGGAGGTGAGGACAGAGTTCAGTGCAAAGCATCCAGTTATTCTAGCCTCCCCAATCACTCACACATGTACTCTCGCACACACATGCTGAAGAGATAAAGTTCAGAAAAAGTGTAACCACTTGATTTAGCTAAAACCAGTTTTGTGAATACTTCCAGATGTGTTTTGTAAAGTTGCCTCCAGTCTATTGAACTTGGAAGCGAAGAGTAGTCTAGGATGGAAAAAACACTCCACTAATACCCTGAACATCAACTCTCTTGGCTGCTTGAGAGTCCTGATACACAATGTTTAAACAAGCTGTTGCTTCATGGCTTTCCTGAAAAAGATTTGATTTTGTTGGGAAACTCTGAAGATAACAGTAATCTTTTGTCCAGGATCCACAGACTTAAAAGAATTGCAGTCCTCAGCCTTCCTGGAGGGTGTTTCATCGGTTTTCAAACAACAGACTGGCTTCTTTCTTTGGGCTACACTGGTCTTTTGAGTGCTGGGTGAGAAATGTACTCCAGATAGGGTGTATGGGCCCACGTTAAAGACATGGAACCAGAGCCAAAAAGATCTTTTCATATAACAAAATTTTAAATGCCTGGAATTTACCCAGTTACTCCCTGTGCTTTTATTAATTTCCTTTTATGTCACCTCAAGCCTACAGTTCAGCAGCAGTTTTTGAATGAGTTTTTGGGATAATGTGTAACACTGGGAGCACTGATTGAACTTTATTGATATAATAGTACACTTAGTACTCAAATACCCAGAAGTGAGACCAAAGAGCACTGGCTTTGGCTATGAAGTCACTTCCTTGCAGGCTTTAAATATAACCTCTATAGCTATAAATGATTATTTGTGTGATGCTGTTCTTTGTCACTGGAAAGTATACAAGTATCTCATGCAAGACTTTGATATATATATATATATATATACACATACACACACATACATACAAGTATCTCATGCAAGACTTTGATATATATATATATATATATATATATATTGCCAGATATATCATTATGCATACAGTATCATTTTGTCAGTTTAGAAACACCCTATTACTACACTACAAAGATAATTCTTGATTATTTCAATCTTTGAAAATAATGCTACAACTTGTGTTGGGACAAAACTATTACAACAGAACAGACACCATTCCACCCCTCAAATGAGCTATTATAATTATGTTGCAATACTACCCTTAGCCATATGCACACAACTGGGCTAAAAGCACAATTTCACCTCACAAAATGTCTGGAACCTGAGTAATACTCAAACAAGGCTCCCTCCCAAAATAAGCCATGGGAATTGTTCCAAATGCCCTGAAGCACAATTAATTCATGGAGAGCTAGCAGTCCTCGTCAACACCGCGCACACACACAGTCATCCTTTACTCTAGATCCAGATCATTCCTGAAGAGCATTTGGCATTTTTCCCTTTTGGGGGGGGGAGGGGAAAGGTTTAAAATATCATGTGGTCACCTGAACAAGGCCTCATACATCCAAGCAGAAAAAGAATGTGACAGCAAGGTCCACCATCTTTTACAGCGGGGTTGTTGCAGTGCAGAACAGGCAAAGCCCATACGGAGCCTTTGAGAGGCATGTCAGGGGCCACGCTCCATACAGTGGGTGAGAACAGATGAAAGTTGGTGTAAACAAGGACAAAAGCAACATTTGATTTGCATTTTATATAAATGCAAACTGAATTAAAATGCATTTAAATAAGGAAAATTGACCTCTGTAATGAAATTTCCCCTTTCTCACACATTAATTATTCTAATAGCAAGTTTTGGAAAGTCCTTGGGACATCCAAGGACATCCAAAACTATTAAGGGCCTAAACAACCCATGAGCTGCTGGTTATATACTTTTGTTTTATAATGCAACAGGATTTTTTTAAAAAAATAGAGGAAAAGAAGAACTAAGGATTCATGCTGTTAAAGGCATGACTTAGTGTCAGTTTATGCAATGAGGGGTTAAGCCAAAGCTTCACAGAAAGAGTAAGTTTCAAGAAGGAATTTGAAGGAAGTGATGATCCTCCATATAGATGTCTAGAAGGAATAAAGGAAATAAGCAAGGAAAGGGCAAATGTCCAAATCCTGTAGTTTTTGGTTCTGTAATCACTTTTATTCTATCAGTTATTTATTTTGATATTTAAAAAACACATGCTAATAACTATCCATTTCAGCCATCAGGTACAGTGAAGGATGAGTTGATCCTACAGTATATCTGAATGCTCCTGTCTTACACTGGAAGGACTGTGTCTCATTCACACATAATCAAGGGAAATGTGTTGCAGAATGGAATTTATATGTATCAACTAGATTTTAAACCACCGCAGGCTATCATGCCTTAATGCCTCAAGCAGCAATCACTAATTTCTACAATGGTATCACAGAGGTCAAAACTGCAGCTTCTGGTTTGACAAGGCATTCTTCAGCCCAAATGTGCACTAAAGAGTTGGAGATATTCAGGGGGGACAAAATGCACACTACATATGAAGAGGTTTCAGGAGGTTGAATCTATCTGAGTGCTTCCCAAACCTAAATCCTGAAGCACAACAGAGACAAACACCATTCCTTTCTGAGCTACTGTATTCTATTTCCTCTGTCATATGTATGCATGATTTCTATGCACTGTCATAATAATGAGAGACCTCCTTCTAGCCATCCATATTTTTTTTAAAAAAAGAATTAACTTGAGTTCACCTCTTACATTTTCCCAAGCAGCACACAAAATACCCAGTTTGTTGTTTCTGATTTTGGAGGAAAGGTATACACCAGGTCTGAAAGAAGAGTCACACAGAGTAAAGGCTTTTTCACCCACTCATTCCTCTCCTCCTGCTTCCTCTGCCCCACTTGTAAATGCCTATCTGGATTTGATCTAAAGAAAGGATTTTAGGGCTCGATTTCATAAAAACCTCATCTAATGCTATAATCCAGCATTAATGTAGTGAAGGTTGTAGGGTGACCATGGCCTTATCAGAAGAGATGGAGGAACAAGTAAATACTTAGAAGAGAATTATTTTTGACATCTCAGAATTATTTTTGACATCTAACTAACATGCATTTGATAGTAAAAGTATTTTTGTAATCTACGCTTCATGGGATTTTATTGTATTTTATGTCTGATGTCTTGGTCCAAACATACATATATACATTCATATGTTTGTGTATACACACACAGAAACAAACATATAACAGGTAGCACTTGAACAGGAGATCCTAATAAAAATAGCCAGTGGGAAGACTCAAGATGTTTTTGTAAGAAATCAATGGGATGAAAGTCCCATGAACAGGAGAGCTATCCTATCTCTCCTTTCCAAGTGAAAACAAAATTATTTTAAGGTAATGAAGCATATGTGACAGAAATCTCCTCTTTGGCTGCTAGGAGTCCCCAACACAAATGCCCAGCAAAGGGAACCCACAAATAAATACATAAAGTTCCACCCTATACCAATCCTGCCTTTCTCTCTCTCTTCCAAGATTTTAGCAAGGATGCATTCACAATAATCTGAAAACGACTTCAGACTCAGATTGGTAGAGGGACAGGTAATGGGGTGGGCCTTCTGTCACTTGCCAGTCATGGGAGTGGGAGGTGATATCACTTGCCCAAAATGCTGTGTCTATCTTTTCCCGGGTTGTCTAACCCCAAACCAGCTGCCATCTGAGGAGGGGGGGGGGTTGTATTGTTACCTTCTGGATCTCCAAGGTCTTAGAGAGGAGGCATGAACGGAGGTCTCTCCTTCTCCCTCCATCGTCTACTACTCACCAGTGAGCATGGCGGCGCCCCCCAAGCCAGATCCCGGCGGCTCCATGGGCTGGGTAGGGGGGCCCAGCTCTGCCGCCGGGGGGTGGGTGCCTTGCCAGTCCGCTTGCCGTTTCCCAGGCGAGAACGACTCGTCTTCGTCCCTTACTTCCCACTTTTCTTCCCAGTTCGTCCGCTGGCCCTGTTGCTCTTTCCCACCACCTCTGCTGGTCCCAGTTGAGGTTCCCGACTGGTCAAGTTGAGGCTCTCTCAGCTGGGATGGATCGCCGTCGGGAGGGCTGGCGAGGCGGTCTGTCTCGCGTGGGGAGGCGGCGAGTGTCCCCCGCAAGACCTTGACGTCGCCGGACCACCTTGCCACTCGGCGTGGGTGCTTTGGAATGTGCTGGGGAGGAGGGTGAATGGGGGAGAAAGTGCGGGGAGGGGGAGAGGGGGCGGATCCGCTCTTCTTCCTGTCTCTGACGAGCCGTGCAGGCCGCTGGTTGCAGCGCTGGGGATGCAGCGGTGACGGTGCCTATCACATGGAGAGGAGGAGGAGCCGGCAGCGGCCCGGACACCTCGGCCCGCCTTCCTTCTTTGACCCGGGGCTGGACGGCGTCTGCAGGTGGAGTCCCCGGTCCGAACTCCGCGGAAGACGAGCACGAGCCCGATCCCTGCTGGAACGAGGCGGGAGAAATTGAAGCGAGGATCCCTGGGTCCTGCTGTCTGCTCAGGCCGAGGCGGGAGAGCTACTGAGACCAGGACGCCTGGGCTACAGAGAGCCGAGAATCCCAGGCTGGCCTGACGGCTCTCGACCGGCGGGGTGGAGGCGGCGCGCCAGAACTCCTGGACGCTTCTCTTCAAGGGAGGAAGGATGGAGTAAGAGGATCCTGGTGCTCCCCGGCTTCTCGAGCTGTGGGATGCCAACTGCGGGAGGAGATTCCAGGACATCTAGACTTTACCTTTGCACGAGGAAGTCCGCCGGACTCTTGGCAAATGAGGAGAGGGACTGAACGCCTTCACCTGTGTTTGGACTAACATTTCCACCATTCCCAGACGCCATGAGGACACCTGTGTGGAAAAAGCTGGCCTGGAAAAAGTTAGGGCTGAGATAGGCGGGGGGGGGGGAAGAGAGATGTCCACTCCTCCGCTTTTCCAGCTAAACACCGCCCCCTCCCATCCGCCCCCTTTGCGAGAGGGGTAAATCTTCCCTTGGTGGCAGCCAGCCCACGACCTCCTCGCCCCCTTCGCCTGATCCTTACTTGCCCCGCGGTTGCTACGGCAACGGAAAGCCACCATGACAGCGGAGGCGAGGGGAAAAAAGGGGAGGTAGGTGGGAGAGAAATAATATGCTTCCATAGTAACCTCTGGCCCCAGAAGAGTAGGATCATTCAAAAAGCTCCATGCCTTTTCTAAAGGAAGGTTTCCCAGGCCTAGATTGGCTCTTGAAAGGGACTGAAGGAGGGATGAGGACCTCTGGCCTGTTAGGAAGCATCATTTTGTAAGATGGGGAAAACACGTTTGCTCTTCCTAAATGCCATCAGAATCGGGAGGAACAGCAAGGTCATAGTTCATTTTTTGCAATTAGTCATAGGAACGCTACTTATCACAGGAGCAGCTCATCAATACAACACAGTGATTCTAAACAAATTTAAGGTGCTTGTCAGGATTATTAAGATAAAATATTTGAATTGTTTTAACCAGAGTTCAGTGAGCTATAAACTCATACTGATCTAACAGAAAATCCTACTTTTCAATAGATATTAAAGGAAGCTGTTGTCTTTGCTATGCCACTGAATTCAGTATACATCCTAAATCTTAGTGATCTGGGCATGCTTTCACTTTGGCATTAGTTTAATGTTATTGGTTTTATTTATATGTACAGCATTTATTAGATATTCTTCAATAGAATTTCCAGAGGGGTCAAAATTAAAAACAAAAAAAATAAAATGTTGATATAAATTTGAGTGCAAACACAAACTGGCAAACATGACACATTAATTGGTTTTTATATCCTGTTTCAATAAAAGTCATGGTTTAAAAAGGTGATCCAGCCAAGGATGTTATAAACTCTTCTAAACTGATCAGAATAGTGTTTTGCATTCAAAATATGTAGGTTGCATTGAAAAGGCATTTTGCATGCAAAATGGTTGAAACTCAGACATTTTGCAGAACCTAAAACAAAATTATCACAAATTTTAGCACTCTTGACTCTAGACTGCCATTTAAAAAAATCATCTAGTAACTATCTTGAGAATTATCATTTGGTGTATTTGCAAAATTGTTCATTTAACTAATCAACTTTTACAAACTTGAGACTCTATTCTGATTTCTCAACCATTAGCATTATTGCCCTCTACCCAGGATTCCTAAGCATGGTAACTTCCTTATGTCAGTGATGCTCCTGAATCTTTTTTATCTTTTCCTCCTCCTCTGCATTTTTCTCACTTCTGCAAGATACTTCTACATTAGTAATCAAAAGAATTTCACCATATATGTATATGTATTAATATATACACGTATACGCACACACACCACCAGAAAATAGTTGCCCAACAACTTAGTTGAAGCAGGGAAGTCTTTCAGGTTTTCTGGTATTCTTACATACATTTTGTCAGCCTCTCATTTCTCCTTCTCCCAGTCTCAACATTGCAAAGTGTTGGCCTTGTTTGTCCTCTGGGCCTAGTACATATCTCTTATGCTTGATTTGCTCAGAGAAGGATCATCATACTTGGCAATAGGTTTAAAGGAAATCCATGCTTTCCATTAAGTGGAAAACAGAACAGTCAACAATAGAAATGAATACAAAACTGTAATTATTGCTCTATGTAAGATACCAAAATCAAGATCAGTTTGTTCCAGATTTTGGCCAAGAAAAAATCCAGGAGTCTTAGGAGGCAAGTAGAACTAGGCTAGTATCCTCATTTATTTCTTCCACTGTAATGGGATATGAGAATTACCTTAGGAGACAGGAGGAAGAGCTGCAGACTAGGCAACCATCATGTAAAATATATCTTAGTTCACACAAGCAGAGAGGTGTAGGAAGTGTTTCAGAAGAGACCCTAGTTTTCTGGAGAGTAAAAACAAAAAGGGGAGAAATATTTTCAGACTTGCAAGAGTCTGTTAACCTTAAATATAGAGCTAGTATTTATTGCTGTGCTTCATGGCTGAACTACTTTAAAGGGCTAACATCTAGCATGTTCAGTAGCCCACAAGCAAATGTCAGTGTCTTCCCACTGCCTCTTGAATTTAAGTAATATATACCTCCCAGCCCCCTCCATCTTACTTACCTTTAGCTGCCAGTAAGAACCATGTAAGCTCCAGGTCTAAGCATGGTTCAGTCCAAAATTGCAATACTTTGCATATCCCACAGCAGCAGAATTGGATCATTCTATTGGGTCTATTCAGAGACTACATTTAAGCAGGTCAGCTAAATATTGAACAGGTGCATTTGCACATGCTAAGCTTGATAATAATTTTTACTATATTCTATTTTTTTAGTGTTGCTTAACATGGGTAAATCCAGCCTATTTGAACAGCGTATGGTTTAATGTTGGTCAGACTGAGCTATGAAAATTGTGATAAAAAGAGGAAAGTTTACCTAGAAAATGGGATATCTCATGAATCAGGTGGAAAGCGTTATGTGAAACGATACGGAGTCACTAGAGTAAAAAGCAGGTAAATCAGCTGTTCCTCTAGACAGCCCCAGCTCATCACTTTCAATTACCTTTGTTTTTCATTTATACATGGGAGTAAGTATTTTATAATCAGGACAGGAAAAATAAGATAAGAATAGCTCTGCTGGATATGGTCAAAGGCAATTTTGTCAGCTCTTTTGTTTCTCTCTGTGGCCAGTCATATACCTCTGGAATGTTTGCAAGAAGAAAATGGAGACATACCCTTCATTCAACATTCCACCCTGTTCTTCTGCAAGAGGTATTTGGAGGCAATGTCCTTCCAGCATGGGAATATCCTTTATCACATGCGGTAGCCCGAAGTATTCACAATATTCCAGATGCAGTGGTATCACTGATTTGTATACGGGCATTGCACTGCACTTTTTTCCCCCCCAATAACTTTTTTCCAGGATGTTAACTTGAAAAAATACAACCGAGGAGTGTGATTGATGGCAGTTACGTTTTGAAAGAGAGGTCCTCTCTTCTATGCTAAAATATCGCAATACCAAGATCGTTCACCTCTATCAAATGTCAAAAAACATTCATGAAATCTTCCTATAAATATATCTTATTTTTATTTTTAATATTTTATTTATTTTGATAGAAAAAATAAGCATATCATAAAACAAACAAGGGGGAAAATTAACTAGTAAGGATGTCAACTTTGCACAAATAAAACAGAAGTTATTCTTATTAAGCACAACTGAATGGAACCAATAGTGAAAATGGAAGGAAGACAAGAGTCCAGCACAAATACAGAATCTTTATTATTAATACAATTGTTTTCAAAAAGAAATCCTAAAATTGGAACCAGACACTGGAGGAAGTTCAAAGAGCCTAACACCCTCACTAAAAGTGGAGCTGCCCTTCCCCATCACTACCTTATGTCGCTGTCTCTCATTCACCAGGGTTTCTCATCATGTGTGCAGCCCCGGCTGCAGCAAGAAATCCATAATCAAATTTTCTTCTAGAAAACCAAAATTATTCCCTGTAGATCATAGAAGGTGGATACCTAGAGGAAAACATCCCTTCTGTTCTCCTCAGCCAGATCTCTGAAACCTTGCAGTTCACGTAATCCCTTTAGAAAGAAAAGGAAGATGAGACTCAGGTTTCTCTATTGATTCCTTTTATTTCTTTTTACAGTATAATAATGATCCCAAACTATATTAGAAAAAATATCCTCCTTGTCCCATAAAGGAGCTTTCTTGATCTGGTATTGGACCAAAGCACCTAATCTCTTCAGTCTCCATGGTACATGATGACACTAGTTATGGATAATGGAAAAAGCCCTCCAATATATTTGCCAACATTGCAGTTTGGGGAAGTCAGTCATAGAACAGTGCCCTAGGAAAGAGCAGCTTTTGCTCATTCTGTGCAACACTCTTCAAGTGTAGTTAGTTTCAACCCACCATCATTTCTTGCTCTGCCTGCCAAAAGAATGAATGCCATCTACCACATCCCCCCCATTTCTCCCCCAACAGTAAAAACTTTGTTGACCACATCCCATTACCTCTAAAACCATCCGGATATTGGCTTTTATTCTGGCAGAATCTTTAGTAAGAGTTTCACTGAGCCTGTTAAAAAACAGAAAAAATCCACAGGAGGTAATGGAGAAGGATTGTCCTAATAAATTATAACAGCTCTTGACCATCTATTGATGAAGACCTTATGGCATACAAGGAGAAACTATTTTTATAGTGCGTGCTGGAAAATATATCTGAATATGAATAAGAATGCAATCCTATATGAACCCACAAAAGTTCAAATCCATTGAATACAAGCATGGATTAAGCAGCACAAAAGAAAGGGAAGATATGTTTGTTTTTGCACAAGAGAATTCATCTATGCTTGCTCGGCTCCATATTTTATAGTTTGCTGGAGCCTATCTAAGTAAAGAGGACATGTCCAGCTATGATGCAGAGCATGGCTGCCCACAATTCAGGCTCATCCTTCACAGAATTGTCTCTCCCAGCCTCCTCTGCCATTTGCAGAGAGAAGACAGAGACAGTCTCTGTCTCTCTGTCTCTCTCTCTCTCTGTAAAAAAGAGAGTGGCTTCACCCTATTCTCTAGGGAGCTGACAAGCTTATTAGGCGGGGCTCCTCCCTTTGCTGCATCTCTGCAGGAAGGGCATGAGAGAGCCAGGTCAATAAGAATTCCTGTCAGCTTGTTGGAGAACAGCTTGAAGCCAGCTTGTCAGGTGAGCAGAAGATCAGGGAGAGGGAGAGGGGAGAGAAAGAGAGAGAAAAGAGGGGGGGGAGAGAGAAAGAGAGAAAAAGAGACAAAGAGAAAGAGGGAGAGAGGAAGAGAGAAAAAGAGGGGGAGAGAGGGAGAGGGAGAAGAGAGAGGGAGAGAGAAACAAAGAAGGGGAAAGAGGAGAGGGAGAAAGAGAAAGAAAAAGGGGGAGAGGAAAGGGAGAGGGAGAGAAAGAGGGAGAGAAGAGAGAAAATGAGAGAGGGAGAAAGAGAAGGGGAGAGGAAAGAGAGAAAGAGGAAAGAGAGAGGGAGAGAAAGGAAAGAGAAAGAAAGAGAGGGAAAGAAAGAGAGGGAGAAGAGAGAGAGAGAACTCGTGCACAGCAGCCTCTATTTCTTTTTAATTAAACTCTTTAATCAAGCTCCTTTCCCTTGCGGCTCCCAGTGTTTTCTTTTCTCTGGGAAACGGGTCCAAGTGGCTCCTTGAGTGTTTAAGGTTGCAGACCCCTGCCCTAGAAGAATAGATCTAATGAATCAAATATTTATCAAAAAAGACTAGTTATACTATAATCTAGTTTCATCTTCTTCCTACATTCAAGCATCTTGTTCTGCTTACAGCAGTCAGAAAACATGCTACTGAAGAACAGCTAGAGAAGGATACCATTCCCAAGTTTTATCAAATAGACACAACAGAGCAAAGCATCTCTTTCAGTAATGTGGTGAGAATAGAAAATATAAAGACTCAATTCTTCTACTCACTCAGTAAGCAACTTGGTCTTCTTCTCAATAAAGGTTAGCGCCTCTGGTAGAGTCAGTTCCACAAAGAACCCATAACCCAAAGCTACAAATATGGTGGATGTATCAGGCCTGCAGGCAGGAAAAGGAAACTGAGTACAATTGGCATTAATGTGGCCACAGAGATAACAGAAACAGCAACTGGGATTCTGTCTGCTGAGGACACTATAGCAGTTCAGGTTACATGTTTTACTAAATTACATGAGTTAGTTTCATTTTGAATTGTACAGACCTAGCCATTTGTGATTTCTTTAATAGAGGCTAAGGAAACTATGGTTGCATATCATATAAATCCAATCATAATTTATATTATGAAGAAAAATTGCGAGTATGTCTCAGAGAAAATGAGCTCTCTCTCCCTTATTTTCTTCATTAAGGGATAAACTGACAAACACCAGGAAGATTTGAGATGTAAAATATACCACACTAAGGTAGAATATACTGAAATTAGTTAGATAATAAACCAAGACAAAAATGGAATAAAGTAAACAAAGCATACAATGTAGTATAATAAAGATTTCCTTCAGTTGAGATCAACCTCTCGGTAACTATATGAATATTAGCTGTTGGATGCAAAATGGAAATGATTTACCACTGCCTTTATTTGGAACTTTTTTTCAAGCTTCCCTATCTAGTGTCCAGATCCAGGATTTCCTGGTTGTCTCCTATCCAAATACTATCTAGATCTGTTTCTATTTAGCATTTTTTGGATTAGTCAAGGCCAGTTAGATACTGCCATCTGCTGTGCATCTGGTGTTTCTTTTTCCAGTTTTGAAATATTTAGGTGAAAGCAGTATAACCGAAAGTAACAAGATGAGTTAATTTTTTTCCTATAAAAGGAAAAAAGATCTAAGAGCAGGAAAACAAAGTGAAAAAAGAGTTGACTTTGTACATTGTTTTTCTATAAATTGTTGTACTTTCCTGCTCCCATACACATATACATGTATTTTTCCAATATATTACACATTTGTACTAAAAAAAACATTGCAGGATGACACAGAAAGAGAGCGCCATACTGTCCGTTAAGCCACCAATACTTTTTAAGGGTGGCTCAACATTCATGGATGATAAAAGAAGAACTTGTTGAAAAGAAAAGGCAAGAATTACAATAGAATACAATAACAATTTTCTAGCAAATTTAGCCCTTTGCTTATGTTTATTAATGTTTTTTTTTCTGTTCTTCCCAGCTACTTCTTCCCCTTGTCTTATCTCTATCCAGTTCATCTTCTTTCCTCTCCCCTTCCCAGGGCAGCTCCATATTGATATTGTGTGGAAGGAGAGAAACATGCTCATGTGTATGGGTTATATATGAAGATAGCAGTTACAGGAAGTCTTTGACTTACGATCAGTTAATGATGGTTCAAAGTTAGGATGGCCTTGGAAAAAGTGATTTACAATTTATCTTCACACTTGCAACTGTCACAGCCTCCTCCCAGTCACATGATCATAATTTAACAAAAACGTAAAATAGGGAAGCTGGATTTGCTTAACAAATGTAGTGAACTGCTTATCTAAAATGGTAGGGGTTTTTTTTACCTAAAATAGGTAAAAATAAATGTAAACACGGTTCTGGTGATATGATGAATCACTTTAACATTCGCTCTGATAGAAATTCCTGCCCCAATTGTTGTAAGTCAAAGACTATTTGTAAGTAATTTTGGAAATAAAGTAACTTATTTTAAAGACAATTTATTTTAATCAATCAAGATCTGAGAGATTATCTTATTCATCAACAATTATCTTTGTTAAATATTTTTCATTCTTGTACAGAAACCTGTAAAGTTGTATTTAAACATTTCTGGAGCCAGCTTTTCATCACTGATATTTTTGTTTGGCAAACACAATCTCTTTCTGCTTACAGCTAATGTGTGTTCACACTATCCTTGGTCCTCTGCTATTATGAAGGGGAAAGAAAGAAGCGTTATTTCACACTCAGCCACCTGGTCTTTATACTGGGCAACGCTAGCGGGAAAGCAGCCTAAATTTGGCTCTCATTCTGCACATTATCTTTCAACGCACAACCTTTTGTTCTTAACCAAGCACGAGCTCATCTGGGGATAAAATATCCACAAATCTTCAGCATCCATTTATAATGAATTTGTAAATTTCAGGGCACTAAAATTTAGGGAAAAGTTGAGAACATTTTTATATCATATTTTCCCAGGCTGAAAAAGGAAATTTTAATATTTTTTCCACACAGGGAAATTTGGCTAAAAGAGTTAATTCTCTTCAGACGCATATTCTGACAGGGGGTGGGGGGAGTGAGGAGAAAAGACAAGACTGCTCATCTCTCTTCTGACTTTGCCTTTTTTCAGTGTTCCATCTTCTTTTAATTTTTATTATCATTTGTTAAAAACAATGTTTCCTAAACTGGCAGGGTCATTTCAGATCACAAGATGGACAACATATAAATATATGTAATGTATTGTATGTATTTAAAAAAAACACCTGAATCTAAAACATTTTATTGTGCAACCCAAAGAGTTTTCTCCAGAATATTTTACCACCAAGAATAACCTGAGTGCATGACTCATCATTCTGAGCATGTTTCCTGATTGAGAGGGTGGAAGATCAAAAGTCCAAATCATACAGATAAATTGCAGGCAATCTCCTCATCAGATTTACCCATTAGTCCAACAAGAATCTTTGATTAAATCATTTTTCACACTTCATGTAGAGCTTTCTCTTGCAACACAACACGAAAATTATGGCTTTAGCAAAGAGCTGGATGTTTTATTTTGGGATTAGCTGGCAAATTACAGCATGCAGTATATAAATGATGCTCTGTAAATAAAGATCAGTCTTTACAGCTGTCCTATGACAACCTAACAAAAAAGGAAATCGTTTATAAGAACTCAGCAGAGATTCCTTTCAAAATTTTAACTTGAGAACCCTATTAAAAGAAGAATTTTAATTTTCTTTTCTTTTCTAATGAAAGATATCTCAACCTTTTAAGAAGTGCTTAGGGTTAAGAAAAACAAGGTTAGGCCATGAGGAGATGTATAGACTCCTTCTGTTATAATACTATAAATCAGTATTGTAAATACTACAATAGAGGCATCCAATGGTGGGAGAATCAAGATAGAAAAATAGTTTTCAGTAGGAAAGAGATAAATCTGGGAAAATTAGAACTATCCGTGATTATTAATTATGACAATTATAAAAATCTGGTAATTGCATTCTACTATGAATGTTTTTAAGAATCTCTGGCAGGAAGTTATTTGGCCTATTTTAAAATCCAAACCAGGATGAGATATTTCTGAGTACAGGTAGTCATCAACTTATGACTACATCTGAGCCCAAAATTTCTGTTGTTAAGGGAGACATTTGTTAAGTGAATTTTGCCACATTTTATGACCTTCTGCCACCATTGTTAAATGAATCACTGCAGTTGATAAGTTAGTAATATAGGTGTTAAGTGAACGGGATTCCCACATTGATTTTACTTCTCAGAAGCCTGCAGTAGGTGATCATATGACCTTGGGCACAGCAATGGTCATAAGTATGAACCAGTTACAAATCATCTGAATTTTGATCGCATGATCCTGGGGAATACTATAAAGATTGTAAGTGTGAAAAATGCTCATAAGTCACTTTTTTTAGTGCCGTTATAACTGAACGGTCACTAAATGAACTGTTGTAAGTCAAGGACTACCTGTATATAAACATTTTACTTGCAGATGAAAATTCCATGTTTACAGTGACAATAGTCAGATTTTTAACAGCTACAAAAGGTTTTTAGTAACAAATCAATGAGTTAGGGTGTTAAGTGCATTATGTTATAGTTATTAAATATTTTATTTATTAAATTGTTTTATTTAATTCCAAATTAGATTATATTTGTAACTTGCTTTTGGGCCTTTGGAGCATAAATAAAATCACATCAGCTGCCAAGGAAGAATAATACAAGAAGCTATAGTGTTTATGTTCTTTTCATTGAGTTCATAGTTAATCTCTGTGAAAAACAGGATGCCAGTCCAGATAAATATTAATTTAGCATTCAATTTGTTTATCCTCTTCCAGATACTCTTTATTATCTGAAACTCTTCAAACCTATCGCTCACACAAAGATAGATCAAATTAGTTTTATGAAGAATGATCATCACCAATAATAATCACTTATATTTATAATCACTTATAAATTTCAAAGTGCGCACAAAATATTTCTATTTCACTTCATTAAATCCTTTAGACTTTAACATCTGTATGACTGGCAGTCATTGAAGGAGTGCAGCCTTCTCAATCATGAAAATTAAATAATCAGTAAATAAACTGTCACAGTGAATAAAATGATTTGACCTCCACTGCAAAAAAATTAACTGCTAGTAGATACATGAAGAACACTTCTCTTGCAAGAGAGAATTGGACTAAATCAGTGGTTCTCAATCTTTTTATACCGGCGACCCCGGTCATAAGGAGGCGGTGCGCATGCGCGGTGGCGCCCCCTGCACGGCACGCATGCGCGGCGACGCCCCATGCACGGCCCCATGCGCGGCGGCGGCCCTTGCGCGGCACGCATGTGCAGCGCCATGCGCTGCCGCCTGCATGGGCCCATGCACGACGCACCCCGTGCGGCGCACATGCGCGGCGGCGGCCCCTGCGCCAGCTGAGGGGAAAAAATGGCAGATCGCGTTGTTTGGCGACCCCTGTGAAATGGTCGTTCGACCCCAAATGGGGTCGCGACCCACAGGTTGAGAACCACTGGATTAAATAGTCCTCTGACTCATTTCAACTTCTACAATTTTACCAGTTGGTGTCTAGAGTAAGTCATAATAATAGTGCTTTTAATTGAATTTCTCAAAAGTTGCAGAACATATAAAAACGTAAAAGACTAGAAAGCTGTATGGCATTGGATACATAGAAGATCGATGAGCTACTCACACTTCTGCATTGACGTAAAAATTGCAGCCCAGATCCACTTGAGTTTTCAGCTCTTGGCTTCCTGTTTCCTAAAAGAAAATAACAAATTTACTTGGGGTACAGCAGCTCTTAATTATTATCTCCCAGTGTCTACTACAACAGAGCACTACATCACATGATTGCAAAGTAGTATAAACTGGTTAGAAAGATTTTTGAATTACCTGTAAACGTTCAATAATGTTCTTGAGTTGCAAATACTGAGCAATTTTTTCATAAATCTCATCTCGCTGCTCCAACACTTTCCTGTGTAGGGAAATATCAATGTCTGAAATGTCAATATCAATGACTAAGAGAGACTTAGAAAGCATGACATATAAGAGGTTAACAGAAGTGAGATAGTTAAAAGGTGGACTTGGAAAGGGATTATTTTTAAAAATCACTCACTTAAGGTCTCTCTGCAAAACATCACTGATAAATGCTTCATATTGAAGCACTTTCTCTTGTAGTTGCTGTTCACCAAGCATCACCATGAGACTTCCACAGAAAATATTAGTAAACAAGTCCTGGATGGAAAAAAATATAAGGTTAATTGGAAAAAAAATCTATAAGTGGGGAAAAAAACAGATTTTGAAACGATAGTCCACCTGACATGCTTTTTCAAATGATATTTTGTATTGCCTACAAAAAAACCCTCTGTGCACCCCATGTTATTCCCCATCGTTCTCCCTCTTCCGGCAGTTTTCATAGCTATCTAATTTGAATATTTATCCCACGTAAACCAGGTCAGCCCATGAAAACCATAAATACACATTCAGGTATAATAAGGAAAAGGCAGAATTCCTAGCCCTTTCTCGAAAACTCAAGAGGCCAAGTATGCGATTTACAAAGCTAGGAAAGCCGCTCCGACGGGTCGCTCTACGAGAAGCAGCACCAGGGAGCCTGTCCCTTCTCCACTTTCGGGCTCGTACGCCTTAAAAGCGATGTTAGGCTCTCCTCAGACTCAGGCTCGCTTCCGAGCACGTCAGAAAGGAAGGGAGCTAGAAGAAGGGAGCCACTTTCGCCCACTCCGCTCCTGCGTCCGACGAAGCCAAGTAGTTTTACTTTCCCACTGCTTAACTGCGCGACATCATGGGACGGACTCGCCCGACCTGGTGAACTTCCAGATATTACGGCGCTTGCTTTCCAATAGAGGCTGGGAATAGGGAGAGGGGCACCAATGAAGGGCAACCAGTCTGCTGCGATGAATTTCAGAGAAAAATCAGTATCTCTTTTTATAGCAACGGGAGGGCGCCATTCCTCCTTTATCCCGAGTCTCCCTTCAGTTTTCATTCGGGCTCTCGAGACATAAAGGACATAAGCATGCCATCGGAAGTGAACGGGGGTACTTCCGGTTCCTCGGAGCTCCCGCCCCTTTCGGCTTAGAATAATTACTACTAGTAGGGGGGGTCAAACTGGCGGCCCCGGGGCCGGATGCGTCACGCGCAGGCCACGCCCAGCCCGGCTCCACAAAGGCAAAAAACTCCGTCGCGGTACGTCATGTGATGCGATCGACTTTGACCCCCCTCCGTGAATTACAGGAGTGGTCCCTTGGTCTCACCGTCTCCCGCGATGATGGTGCCGGACCTGCGGCTGGACCCTTCGATTCGCTTCTGGATTTTGCTGCCCGTGGCCTGGATCGCGCTGGCTGTGGGGATTCTGCGGCTGCGCGTGTCTAAATTGCTGCGCGGCAAGCGCGAGCCGGCCTGGCCTGAGCAACGGCAAGACACGTGAGTAGCGGAGAAGGGCTGCGAAGGACGCGCCGACACGTTCCAAAGGGTTTAAAAGCAGGGGTCTCCAACCTTGGCAACTTTAAGACTTGTGGACTTCAACTCCCAGAATTCCCCAGCCAGCACAGCTGGGAGTTGAAGTCCACAAGTCTTAAAGTTGCCAAGGTTGGAGACCTCCGGTTTAAAGGACGGGGAAAGAGGCGTGAGCCCGATAGAATAGTCAGGTGCGAGAATTCTATCGCACTTGGCAAGATAAATTCTTGGGTGGGGGTTGCTACTTATTTCTTGGCCGGTTTTTTTTTTCCTCTCAAACTTGGCAATTTTCAAATGTGTGGACTTCAAATCCCAGAATTCCCAAGCCAGTATGCCAAAAGTAGGAACACAGACTGGTTAAAAACAGGTAGTCTGCAACTTACATCAGTTCATTTAGTGACCGTTCAAAGTTACAAGGCACTGAAAAAAAGGGACTTATGACCATTTTTCCACCTTTCTAGCATCCCCATGATCATGTGATCAAATTCAGATGGTTGGATTTAATATAAATCCAGTAATGTAAAATCAAAATCCCACCAGCAGCAATATATACCACAATAGTAGAGCAGGCTTACAATCTGCACACACACCCCCCTTTTAATCTCATTCTGAAGCAAAGGTATATGTCATCTTTCCTGAAAAAGAGGGTGAGGGTTGAAAAGAGACCTTAGACAAAAAAAGTTCCATAATTAGGGAGCAACCAGCTTTTTCTCTTTGGTGGTTCTCAGCTAAGAGTGAGCAAATAGTAAACTTCAAGATAACAATATAAACCTGTATTTCTTAAACTGTCTTCCACAAATTTCCTCAAGAGCATACTCCCTTTTTCTTCATGGTGTCTTTGTGAAAACTGGATTTTCAGCAAGCTACAATCAAGATCAAACATCAAGAACATTATGCTCATTCTTTTTTAAAAACCAGCTCTTGTTCCAGATAGAGAAAAAAATACAAGCTTGCACAGCCTATTAATGATTTATAATTGGTGCATTAAATAGAAAATAAAGATTATGAACATATTTCAATATTCCTTGCATTTCCCTTCCCCCCTTTTAAGGAGTACACAAGTATTGTACTACTTATAAAAATATTTGGGGATATTTCTTTTGAAACATTTTGAAAAGCTTCAGAAACATTCATGGAAGCCTGTAAATATTTTCAGCTATACAATATACTAGGTATTGTGAAGATACAAGGCAAGCCCAATGATTTTTAATCACTTACAATACCATGTCTCCATAATGCAACTCTATGGTTTCCCAAGTGGCTTCCAATAATATCCCATGTAAAGGCATAGGATGCTGACTTCATAATGGCTAGTATATGAAGTTGTTGTAAAATATACAGTGCTTCTTGAATAGAGTTATTTTGCTGATCATGAGGAATTCTGGAGGCAAAGAAGACTTGCATACCAACCCTGTTTTTTAATTGCCTATTTCCAGTGTCCTGTTAAAGACATTTGAACCATATCAACTAACAGCTGCAAAAATATACTGGGGGAAGTCACAGTAGGAATCATGCAATGTTTCCAATAATACTGCAAAAATCAAGGAGTCTGGTTAACACCTTTAAAACATTTTATTAAAAGGACTTCTCATTTTTGATACCAGCAAAGCTTTTCTCTTACAATATCTATAATAATGCATGGGATTCTAAGGGACCCAGTTATGACTAAATTTCATACACTACTTCATCCGTGCCTTTAAAATGCCATCTTAAACAACTGTGTGCAGATGGTGGATTGTGTTTGGGAACAGTGTGTTTTTTGATGATATATCTGGATTTACAGATCAGATAATCTCTTGGGCTAGCCAATTCTGTTATTATTACAACTGAACTGAGTGCTCTATCTGTCAGGCAAATTCTGACTCGTAGCCGCCTCTTGAGAGAAAATGGACGGTTCCTAACTCATCAGGTGAGAGAATGAAGTCAGCCTCTTCTTGAACACCACTATTCCTTAGACAGATTTTGGCAGATACCCATCAGAAGCTTCTTGGCATTTCAAGCTGCATGTGCTTGTTCCTGTCAAAACCAGAACTTGGCTAAGAATGCAGAATGAACTAACAAACATAATCGAAGTGGATTTTGCTGCTGCTGCTGCTGTTTTGTGATACTTACCTCAGATTCTCTCGGATAACAACTGTTCCTGGACCAAGACTGTTTTGGGATACTGTTTGAATGAACCTTATTTTAACTTTAATAACCTTATTTTAACTTTAATAACCTTATTATTACTGTCTTCCATTATTCCAGAATTGTTGGACTTATTGATGGTTTTATTTAAGGTTGTTCTTGTTTTGTAAATTGCTCTGGTAATACTATTATTTGAATGTGCCTACCTATATTAGTGTTTGACCTTTGCCTGTGCATCTCCCCAGCCACCTGCCCCAAATCAAAATGATATCCATCATAATGGATGGCACTATAGACTATATGAACTTATGAGCTTATCTGGAATTAGAGCTGGCTGATCAATGTACTTACTTTCTAAATCTAGATGGATAGGATTGAAGTTTAAGAGACTAGCTGAAGGCAAACCTACAATAAGTAAGGTATGCTAAAGATTTCAAATAGAATGCTAGAGAGGTACTGTAAGCACCCAAAAAGGAGATTATCAACATGAACTATGTGTATTTTTCTTTTCTCAATAGCCCAAATTTAATCTCAATTTTTGTGGCCTCTTTTTATTTTTTTCCAGGGTTTTCTTATGCGCAAGCATTACTTCAATAATTCTGAGAGTGGCTTCTTTCGCACAACTAAACGCAAACTGCAATCCCGAAACCCACTGACAGGTAACAAGGATGACTGGTTGGTACTCAGAGCAGGTAGCAGTGGCAGCTAAGTGGACTCAAGCCAGTTTTTGCCACTTTCTGCCCTAGTTGAAAAGATTGTTATGCTGTAGAAAGGGTGCCAGTTTAGGGCATCAATGTTGACTATAAAGATTTTGATGTATATCAGTGTTTTTCAAACTTGGCAACTTTGAGATATGTGGATTTCAACTCCCATAATTCCCCAGCCAGCTGATATATATATGACTGTTATTGAAGCTTTCTCAAAATAGAGCTGTCAGTTTACATAACAAGCTCAATTACCGCCCTCCTCACTTTTGTCACTGTAACATAAACCAGCCAAGGCTCTCCCGTTAAGAGGGGAGGCATTAAACAATGTTGTCTTAAGGATCTCTTGTAGATTCTGTTATGGAAAATAATTTTATGTGGCTTCTGTGTGTGGCAGAAGGTTGTTAAGAAAGCTCACAAGTACTACACTCCATGATTTGTAGGGACATCCATTGAGGGTGTATTTTCTATTAACTTTCCATCCTTCCAACACAAATTTTGCCATGACTTCGAGCAGAGGTCCCCAACCTATGGGCTGCAGCCCACTACTGGGCCATGACCCCTTGGCCACTGTCGCCATGAGTGTTGTACGGGAGGTGGCAACGCGGTATCGTGCGGGTGGTGGCGTTGCCACGAACCTTGTGCGGGGGGCCATGACGCAAGCCTTGTTCCAGGATGGCATCGCTGCAGGCCGCGGCATGAGCCTCATGCTGGGGCGGCGGCACAAACCTCACACCGGGATGGCATCGCTGCAGGCCGCAATGCAATCCTTGTGTGGGGGCGGCAGCGCAAGCCTCACACTGGGGCCAGCATCGCCAGGATCCTGGTGACAGCGCCACAAGCCTCACACAGGTGCCATCACTGAGAGCCTTGCGCACATTCTCACAGCCCCATTTGCGTGGTACGCATGTTCGCAGCCTGTTTGTATGCACATGTGGCTACATTCACGTTTGCGCATGCACGCGTAAGGCACCTGGCCCTCCCTCTCCAACCAGGCCACCAATCCAAAAAGGTTGGGGACCCCTGACTTAGAGAATGAGAAATCTAGTGAATGGTTGGTTTCAGTTTTCCCTTTGCTTTTATTTAATTCAGTAGGTAAATAGGAAAATTGCTTTGCTTCTGGTTTGCTCCCTACACCCATTCCCAATACAGAAATTATACTGCAATACTTATAATGAGGTCCTATTGGATAAACACACCCATCACCTTTTCCCTTTTGAGGTAAGCACAGTAATAAACGCAGAAAAAGTGTACAAAATAGTAAGCTTAAAGGACTAGGACATATGATAAATCTAGTTGAATGGTTTAATTCAATATCCTTGCCTCCACCATAACCTCACTGTTTTGTACATTGCCTTTTTAAAAAATTCACTCTTTCCATCCAATGGAGGATCCTCCAACCATAGTTCTAACATGGTCTTCCTCTTCTCAAGCCACTTGCTCTTATGCACGTTCAAGTCATACACATTCTTTGGAATATAAACATTAAATTATATAATACTAAATTAGGCTAAGGTACATGATTATCCCTGCAAAAAGAAATGAAGTTTTGATAAAAGACAAGATTCAGAGCAGGGAGCAATTCTGCTCCCCCTTTGACTTTGTCTTGTCATCTTGACTGAGAGTAGCTTTCAAGGGCAGCTCTAGCAGATGGTTTCCTTGGCCTTATTGGGATGCAGAGTCTCAAACCTGCCTTCTCCTATACCAGGGGTAGGCAACCTTGGCTCTTTTATGACTCGTGGACTTCAACTCCCAGAATTCCTGAGCCAGCATGGCTCAGCTTGGAAACCTCTCCCTTTCCCCTCAGCGTGGCTGGCTCAGGAATTCTGGGAGTTGAAGTCCACGAGTCATAAAAGAGCCAAGGCTGCCTACTCCTGCCCTATACAGTACATACAAAAAACATGACCACTTTCTACTATATGCTGCCCCCTGCGCGTTTCCTCCATTGCTCTGCCATTGAGCCTGGTTTCCTTATCCTTCACCTAAGTTTTGTCTTTCCTCGGTCATCTTCTCAATCTTATGGGAGTGGAACAGTCTGAAATGCCTGGGAATGTGAGCAGATTGCTCCTGCTTTTGATCGTTTTTGTCAGACTGTCTTCTTGCATTAGCTCCAACTGGTAAAGGGAGGAGGGGCATTGCCAAGCTGGTAGCCACTTCATAATAGTCTGGAGGCTCCAGGCTCCTAAGGCAGAGACACATGGCCTTTAGAAATCTTTGGTGGGCCCAATCACCTCTCCAAATCTTCTATCGTAGGTTGTCCAGTACGTGACAGCAATCATATTGACTACAGTATTCAATTTTAAGTACACAACTAACTTTAATTTTTGCCATTGCTCCAGCCATTAAATGTCAACCTCAGAAGTTTCATACCTGTACCCTGAATAATTTCTAATCTGCCAATTTAGATAAGTGTTTTAATGTAGGACCCAGGCTAAACAGTTTGCCAACATAGCCCATACTCTGTAACTAGTGGGCTTTGGTGGTCTGTATTATGCTGATGAAATAACATTTGTGTTTGATCAGATTCTTCCAATCACGGAAAGCAGAAGAGAGCCCTGTGGGGCACCAAAACATTTTCCTTGGTTACCATGGTTCAAAATTGCCATCCCCATCCCTGTATTGTAATATTTAAATACAGTAGGGATTACCTAAACACAACCGCTGCAGATCAAAACTTTTAAAAATAGGCCTGAGTGAAAGTTGACTTGGAGGGTAACTTTAATATGCCTTAAAATATTCTGCAGTTTTTCTATACGGATAAACACATTACGCTGCATAGTTAGGGCTCTAATTAACACTTCCTTTCCCTTTCCTTTAGATCCCACAGTGGTTACAGAGATGATGAAGGGCAACCTTATCGATGTTCTGCCCATGATTCTCATTGGAGGCTGGATCAACTGGGCCTTCTCTGGCTTTGTGGCTAGTGAGTGGAGGGGAACCGTTGAGGGGAAGTGACAAAGCATTTTGTCTTTAGTTTCCTATTTACTTGATATTTTCTATAGTTCAAGGTCTCCTTCAGGCTTGTGAAGATTGAGTTAAAATGATTACAACCTACAATATTTGAAGAATGACTAATTAAAATAGTGAAACTGATGAGGGGAGCAATAACTCTGCTAATGTACAATGTGGTTTACAGTTCTTAGTTTAGCTGGTCTGTGAGGTACATCCTGTTTTATATTGTTACAAATGTAGAAGTGCAGGCGATTGGTTGCTTGCTGCCCTCCAGATATGCTGACACCCCAATTGCCAGGACTATTCAGCCAGCATGCTAGCTCAGCACATCTCCAAGGCACAGCCTGGGGATTGCTACTATAGCATCTGAACCATGAACCAGAAGTGTTTCACTTTGTTTGCTTCTACCTTGAATCTTAGGTTAGCCATACATCTCCCCAGATTAATTTGTAATACAGGAAGGAAAATGCAGCATTTCCACTGTAAGAACATAATGCTCAGGTTTGGAATGCCTTGGGAAAAAGCAGCAAGAAGTACATGGTCCAGCAGTTTCAGTTGAGATTTTCATCTGATCTGTAGATGGGTGTCATATCTAAAGCAATAAGGAACAGCAATTTGGAAAGGTTGGGAAGCTGGGGATTGAGTGGTGAGGGTAGAATTTGGAGGGAGAGGCAACTCTAATCCCTCTCCCTCCCAACCTTCTAGCTAAGGTTCCCTTCCCCTTGACCCTGCGATTCAAGCCCATGTTGCAGCGTGGAATTAACCTGCCTTCCATGGATCCCTCGTGGTAAGCCGCCATCTACCCCAGGTCTAGCCAGTCCTTTGGGTGGCAAGATGGGAGAAGGACATTGGTTGTGGGGTAGAGGACTGGTGAGCAAGAAGCCTGTTCAGGATAGTTACTGAAAACTGTTCTTTTCCCAGGGTGAGTTCGGCCTCCTGGTACTTCCTCAATGTCTTTGGTCTGCGGAAAATATACCAACACGTTCTGAGAGAGGACTCTGGTGAGAAATTGTTCAAAGGAATGGACCACGTGTGGGCCTAGTAGTCTTTCAAGGGAGCAAGCTAACCCTAGAGACCAGGATACAATGCTCGCAATTCCAACTGCAGTCTGAAAACAGGAAGAAAACATTCCGTAAACAATAGAGTTGAGCAGTGAGAGTGCTAGAGGGGACAGCATAGCCCTAAATTGTGTTTGAATTGTTCCTTTCAGATGGCTTTCAGATCTAGCTTTGTAAATGATTACAGAAATAAGATGCTGCGCCTCCTACAAGTCCTATTTGCAGAACAGCATCTGCCACCTTCGTTTGTGGTATAATAAAAGCTCACTTGATACATTGATACATTGAATCACAAAGTAGCCAACCACATTTTAGCTTAACATGTGGTATAAATGTAGTTTGCCTGATTACTTTATGGTTCAGTGCAGTGGTTCTCAACCTGTGGGTCGGGACCCCATTTGGGGTCGAACGACCATTTCACAGGGGTCGCCAAACAACGCAGTCCGCCATTTTTTCCCCCCTTTTCCCCCCTTTTCCTGTGCTACTTCCTTTTATTTTATTGGCTTTTGAAAGCCAATAGAATAGACTCTCTTGAATAGAGTCTAATTCTATTGGTTTTCAAAAGCCAATAGGAATTGTCCAGGCTGTCTCTGCCCTGCTGAGCCCCCCAAAAGTCCCATTCTGCAAATGGTGCTGCACCAGTTGAGTAGTCCTCAACTTACGACCAGTTGGGGGTCGCGGCATTAAAAAGGTTGAGAACCACTGGTTCAGTGTGTTATGTGAATCTAGCAATTGGGTTAAGTTAAACCATCTTATGAGTGCAGCATGCAAACTAAGTTTTATTTCAACTTTCAGTCTAGTCTATATTACCTTTTCAAGCAGGATTCAATATTTCAAGATTGTTTTGACTGATTCTTTTCCCAAAAGAAAATCTCCTTTCTCTCGACATGCATTCAGTAATATCTTCATTCTAATTTTCTTAGAGTACATCTTATCTAGTTATGAATGTGCACTTTATAATTGTTTTGTCCTTAGAATTACAGGGAAATGATTTCAGGGATAGCTATATCATTCTGCTATAGTAATGGAAACCTTTTCAGTATTCTACAATCTCAGATTTATTGTACACACATCTTCGTAGAGTAAATCTCACTAGGCTATTATGCTCTCATAATATACTTATTAATTCTTCTATAATGTAGAAACCTTACACTTAACAAAATGTGGTCTGCTGAGTGACTTGACATTAGTTTCCATTCTGCCTTTGGCAGAATATTTTCTTGGCAATTAGCCTAAATAGGTTTTCATTCTCACAAATTTGTACTTACCTTTCTTTCCTTAACCGCAGAGCCAAGTCAACTCGAAGTACAGTTCATGGGCCCAGACATTCCTGCTCCACCAGATCCCAACAAGGCCTTCAAAGTAAGGTTCTTTATTCCACTGAATAATTCTACTGAAAGCGTAAGTCAGGTACAGGGAACCAGGGGGCCTTCAGCTATTACCAAACTGCAATTCCCAAGATCCCTCACCATTATCCATATTGACCGGGCTTCTATAAGAGTTGTAGAGGATCATAGGTTTTCAGCTCACTATGTGAACTTCAATTTAATTACGATTGTTAAAATTTCCTTTGGATCGGAATAACCTCTGTCAGGAAATAGATGGGAAAACAAACTTATTTCATATAAACCAAAACTATAGTTAAAAAAATAAATTATGTTGGATTAATATATAACAGGAACAGGTAATCTTTTTCAGGAAGTGGGCAGACAGGGAATTTTGACAGCATGAGCAAGTATCTTCATAAAATGCCTTCCAAGGCAGGCATGGCCTATCACAAAACACCCTTTCAGTAGGTGGCAAATGGATGGTGTTACTCCCACTATAGAAACAGAGGCTTCCAAATACTGCAACTTAAAACTTTGCTCCTTTTTTTCTGCATAACTGGGCACTCTTCCCACTCACCATTTTTTTTTAAAAAAAATACTCCTAAGATGTGCATTTTTTTCTTAATGTGAAAACTAAGTCTAGTGAAAGTCATTTAATCTGAAGCCTGGGCTTTGATTCTGCCACTCTTGTAAGTTGGTAGGGCATTGGTGGATGCAATAGTGCTTGAGAGCTGGATCCCCAAATTACCAACAAACCCTTTCTTTTCTTTCAGGCTGAGTGGGAAGCCTTGGAATTGGTATCTCACCACTGGGCTCTTCAGGATGTTGAGGAACAGCTGATATCACAGGACCTCAAGTTGACCGGGATGTCCAGGCCAGATTGAGCTCTACCAGTCTGCTCTGGAGTATAGTCCTACAGGACAGCAGTGCCCAGAAACACTCTGTTCATTATTAGGAATTGGTGGCCAAGGACCACCTGTTGTGCATGGTGTGCTAAAGTTGTGAAGCTGTGCTTGATTTAAATGGCAAAAGGTACTGATGGAGCACTGAAAATCAATGATCAGCAGTCTGATCAGGAAGCAGTTTCAGAAAGCTTGTGAAGAGCTGAAGCATGTGTTAGCATCTACTATCATTTCCTGGTGTGCAGCAACAGAAAAATGTGATAAGAGTGTCTGGAGGCTTCAGGTAGAAATTTAATGTATATGCTATAGCAGAATATTGGGTAATAAACCAAGGTAGCTGCAACTCTTCCTGCTCGACTGTTGTTTGTTCAGAGACAGATTCTAAGAGGTACTAAATAGACCCCGAGTTTACATATTTTAACGTAGCAATGAAAGAACTCTAGGCCACTAGAGTATCTAGCAAAAGGGAAACCTAGATTGCAATTGTTAGGAGCTGCAATTGCCTGGGTTGAATGCCAGCTGAGAAGCTATCAGATGTGGATGTTCTTGGTTTGTACTGATCGAAGCAAAATAGGAAGAAGACAAAATCTTGGTTCAAAGCCCCCTAAAGGGGAATAAAGCAAGGCAAAAAATGTACTGACTGTGCATCCTGTGTAAGGGATAATACCAAGGGGGAAAAAAAGAGTCCATATGCCTTTTAAAAGAAGTTACTTTATGTACACATGCCAAAAAATATTTTCTTCTGCAAGATAACTTCAAGAGAAATAAAAGCTCAAAGAGTTAAATGAAGAAATAATCTTCCAAACTCTTTAAGTAATTAAATGCACTATGTGCTCCTGCCAACAGTGAGTGTCCTGTGCTTGATCAACACTGCTTCCTGCTATATTCCATCCACTGCATTGCACACACAAACCTATTTACAAACTAGTGCAATCCCTGAGCCTAGAAGTAGCAACAGCAGTGGCAGCAGAGACTCAGTAAAGGGAAGAATTCCAAAGTTTTGCTTGAATGGGGATACACCTGGTAGGTATTAGGCCAACTGAGAAGAAACTTCAAGAGCTGGTAGTTAGGTTTCTCCTAAAGTCCTTAGCTTAAGGGAACTGTAACCCAGTACAGACTGACAATGGCTCTGTCTTCCCAAGAGTAAAAAGTAGGATTTTAGGGCTCAGCGGTTCACAGTCACCTTAATAACTGGAGAGAAGCTTCAGAAAGGAGGAATAATACAAGGAAATTCAAAAACATGCATGTAAGTTGCAGATTTCTACCAGATGCTGGAAGATAGGCAGGACAATATTGGAATTATTGCTTAATTGGGGAGCTAAAAGGAGGCACTTGGAAGATAAATGTCAGGAAAGAATATGAGGGGCCATTTATCCAGACCTTTCCAATGTCAGAGGTAAGGCAATAGTGGGGGGGGGGAAAGTGTCCTAATTAGCCACAGACTACACAGGAGTTATTATCTCCACAAACTCTTTCCAGAGCATAGGAACCAGCAATGGTGAAGTGGAGGTGAAGACGTGAAGTCGTGAGCAGCAAAACAAGGGCAAATACCCTGAATCAGAGTGGCTTAATACTGTGGGAGATGGAGGGCAGGGGAGTGCACAGCCAGCATAAAAATGATGCATTTAAGTTTCCTTCCACGTAGGAAACCTTGCATTAATAAAAGCATCTCCATTTTGAGATGTAAAAAAAAGGGAATGGAGGAGACAATCCAGGAGGCCTATATTCCCCCAGCCATCTTAAGTTGATGTAAGGCACAAGCCTTTTAAAGAGTAGTCAATCTTCCCCTCCACAGTGGGGAACTATGTGCTAAGCAAAGAGCCTTGCACTTTCGGACACAGGAAGATAGCAGGTCTGTTTGTACTGGTAAGGGGCTCTTATCTCAGTCTCCTCCATCCCTGCCCTGCCCTTATTCCAAGGCCTGAGGACCTGTTGCCCTTGGAGAGAATCCAGCTGCTCCCTTCAGTTCAAGGAAGGGAACGTATATGGCTGTCCACCTGTTGCAAATGGAGAAGGAAAGCAAGGAGAAGGTCAGTCCACATCCATGAAGTCCCGATTTGCTAGCTCTTTAGAGTGAGAATCACAGCAGGCAGCATAATCCTCCTCGTTCCCGTAAGCAGACATACTCGTGGATGCAGCGAGGGGAGTTGGGTGGCAGATTTTGTCCTGGCGTTGATAGAAGAGGACATAGGCAGCTTTGGACTGGCAAGAAGACAGGGAAAAGTTAATAAATGGCAACTAACAACACAGCCCGGAAGATACTCTCGGTCAACTTCCAAGTCAAAGAAAAGGGAAACACTGAATTGAAATGGTTTCACATGTGTGTAAATCTCCCAAACTTAATAGACTATCCAACTGGCAGTGGAAAGACTGTATGGGTCCAAAAAACTGGACGTGTTTAAAAAATGTTGCACTGCTTTCATATAAGAGCCATCATAGGAGATAAAGCTTTGCATTCCAGCCTGGCCACCATGGAAAAAAAATGAAGATTCTGAAGCATGTCTTTAAAGCAGGCTCCTTCAGTCTTAAAATTTAATCCAAGGCTCTTTTACTTAATAACTAGAATCTGCAGCCCATAAAAGAACCACCATGCTAGCTGGAAAATATGGGGATAATAGTATCTTAAAGCATTCCGAAGCAAGAAAAGTTGGGCTAGTTAACTTTTTAAAAAGACTTTCTCACAAAGCTATAGTCACATTCTGCATTTTTACTCCCAGTGCAGGTGCAAGACACACCTTGTATAGCTGTCCTCCATCTTGCAATGTCCTAAATCAGGGGTAGGCAACCTTGGCTCTTTTATGACTTGTGGACTTCAACTCCCAGAATTCCTGAGCCAGGAATTCTGGGAGTTGAAGTCCACGAGTCATAAAAAAGCCAAGGTTACCTACCCCTGCCCTAAATCAATGGCAAAACTAAGGGAAACCATCCAAAGCAAATAAGCCCACTTTCTCCCCTACAGTTGTTTGAAATGACTCCTTAGAGACACTGGAATGTGTCCCATTTCTTAACAATTAAGAATATCTAGATAATTTATTTCAATTTGCTTCCACTAAAAAGTCCGGTCTGCTTGGAAACATGCGGTTTCCAAGATTCCATTCAAATTTACCCATAAAACAGGTGCCTGTCAAAGAATCTATTATGTTACAAGATCTGACAATCCTACTAGCAAAAAAATGTATGAAGGAGAAAAGCACCCAGATTATGCAGCGAGGCGTTTGCCAGCAAGTACTGAAACAATGAGCCCATCCGAATATGTCGTGCCTTACCTCAATCTGGTTCTCTGAAACTGCAGACACGCTACTGTCATCAAAGTAAAACCACATCCCTGTGTCCTTGTTCCGGGCAAAAGTGGTGTCTAGAGAGTACAAGAGATGAGTCGGGTCATTCCGTATCCTTTTGTTGTCCACCAAGAAAATAAATGCTGCCTAACCACACAGGAATTCCACACAGTTCTGTTTTGTGTCTGTCTCTTTACAATTTCAGTTAATATATCCCAGGAACTACGTTCTTTTCTTTTTTTTTTCTGATTGTTTTTGCCTTCTGGTCATATTGGGCTAAGAGAGAATGACAGCCAATTTGGTGTAGGGGTTGAGGCACCTGACTAGAAACAGTGTCTAGTCCTGCTTCAGGCACAAAGCCAGCTGGGTGACCTTGGGCCAGTCACTCTCTCTGAGTCCTAGGAAGCAGGCAATGGCACACCACTTCTGAAAATCTTGCCGCCAAAACCTGCAGGGGCTAGCCCAGTCAGTCATCTGGAATCAAGACTGGTTCAAAGGAACTAAAAAAAAGTGGTCTTATTCTCCTTCCTAAAAGAGGAAAACAAGAAGATTCTTTCCTTAAAAGTTATTGCTACTGTTGCCAACAAAAATCGGAGCAAGTTTTCAGCTATTACTTTGCAACTATTGTAAGGACAAACAGTCCTCATCCATCAGATGAGTGGCAGGCAGCTTGTGACCTCCAGAGGGAGAGATGGAGGAGTGCAACAAAATAAAAACAAAAAAAGCCTGGCAGATGAATTCATGGACCTGAAAGCTGTAACCAAGAGCAAGGTTTGGTAGGTTCTGAAACAGAGAGGCTGGGGAAATCTTGCTTGCTTGTTTATTAAATTTACATCCTGCCCGTCTCACCGATAAAGCAACTCCGGGTGGCTTACACTCTTATATGTAACTATCTTCCAAGTATTTGCACATACCCCTTACTAAGAGCAGTATGTTTTTATTGGATGATGCTTCAAGTTTATCCCCACCTCCGAAAAAAAAATCTATTTCTTCAGTATACATACAGTGCCCATCCCGGAGGCCACCATAATGGTTGGACACAGCAATGAGGTCGTATTTGTACAGGGAGGTGTCAGTGTCTTTCTGGGGTTTGATGATGAAATCAGAAAAGTCCAGGTCCCTGTTAAGAGAGAAATTAAAAAGCCACTGTTTTTTAAATGATTGAGGAAGGATACCCCAATAGCAACCCTTTTGGAGAAAAGCCATATATGTGCCCCAGGAATTACCACTGTCTCAATGTGTGCTCCCAGCTACCACAATAACTTTACACTAATGCAGCCTTCCATGACTTGAGCTCGGGATGTGTCTGACAACAATTTTTGCATGCCTCACAGGCTTCATCAAATGTGTTGTAACCCAAGAGAGCTGAACACCTCAGCAGGAGGAAAGCAGTGCCGCACTTTCCCCTGATCTTCCAATTAACTGGAAGCACAAAGCAAGTATTTCCTGCAGAGAGACTTAAAACAGGGACAGAGAACCTCCCCACATTTGGGGAAGGCCAGCATGCCCCATTTCTAAACCCTCAATAGCGCTGGAGCTACCTTTGAAAATCCTTTAGCAACACAGCCAACAATGACAGGGTGTCACTGTGATGAAGCTTGCATGATTGCTGAGTCTTTTTTATTGATGTAATATACATACAGTACATACCCATCATGCTATTCCCTTTACGGTGTAGCAGTGTTATAGAGTGCAGAAAAAGAGTAAGAAGTAGTAAGCGAAGGGAGAAAAAAGGAACAAGATAATAAAAAAGATAATATAGGTAAATCTCGTTTCACCAACACCCATCCACACAAAGTCGATTCAGGCTGAGTTTTTGATGACCTCCAAAGTAGAAGATGAAGGCTTTCAATCATATTTCACCATTTCAGAGGCCATAAATTATCACTCAGATCTGTTTCCTCAGATGAAAGGATGAGTGTTCCCCAGTTGCATTTTCCATGATCTATGCCAGGGGTAGGCTGGCTCAGGAATTCTGGGAGTTGAAGTCCACAAGTCATAAAAGAGCCAAGGTTGCCTACCCCTGGTCTATGCTATCCAAAAGGCAGCCACATACAGCATCCAC